CTTAACTCAAGAGTCAGGACGTGTGCGGAGAGAGATGAAAGTATTTAATAAAATAACAAATTTTGTATTTATAATAGTTAAAAATAATTATAATTATTAATAAGACTATGTAAAATATTGGCATTTTGGTAATATCCAGTTCAATTAGAAATATAAAATTAGTTTTATTTTTTAGGTTAACATTAGGCACTTGAAACCAAATTTATTTTAAATTGAATGGTTATTTTTTTACTGTAATTTTTGTTAAATACATAAATAAGCAGATTTCAAAAGTCCTTATTTGTTTTAACTAGTTATCCATAATTTGCAAACATGACAATTAATTAACATTGTTGTTTATTGAGAATTAAATGAAAATGTCAACTGTTTTACAATATGTTTGATTTTACTGACTTTCTAACTAATTATTATTTTTATTGTCAATATTTTGTTTTTCTAAACTCCATATTAAATTAATGGCAATGATTATGATAATTAATGATTAATTTATTAAAAAGTTACAAGTTTTATAATATTTATAAAGCGCAATAATTTCATTTTTCAAATTAATCAAAATTACAACTACAAAGAAGTTAATTAGAAAATTAATAAAAACAAAAACATGTTTAGCTTTAAAAATGTAAAAAATTGTTTTATACACTTTTAACAAAAAACACATTTATTTGATTCTGACACTGATCTGTATTGACATTTCTACAAAGATATCACATTCTGACACTTTTCTAACGAGATTTCATAATCATTACAATGAATTCAATGAAGAGAGAGAGAGAGAGAGAGAGAGAGAGAGAGAGAGTATAGGCATGTTTAAACTGCTCATTTGTCCAGTATTTGATTGGACCTCTATTATCTGGCCCAGAGAGAGCTAAAAGAATATAATGTAACAAATTAGGGGCAAAATCGTATATAAATTCCATGCCTACAGAATATAATAGAAATTATTAAATTGGAACTTTGCAAAAATAAAAATTGTAATGATTAAAATGATTTTTATAGCAATTGTCACGCTGTTAACCATAACCGGTCAGTTAGTGTCTACAATATATTTAACATATTTACTGTATCTTAATAATTATTAAACCCTTATTATACAGATTTTTCATACTCACAAGAAATTACTACAACTCAACCATGGTTAGACGATTGTTTAAAGCGAGTCAATGAAATACGAGCCAATCATCAAGCACCACCCTATACAATGGATCCCACTGTATGCCTTTACAATTAACTAAATCTATTACGAAATACTAAAAACTAATTAAAACTTAGCTGGTGAATTATGCTAAATGGAGGTGTCCAAATGCTGATGCCGGTCACTTGAAGAACAATAATGGTCATGGTGAGAATATCGCACAGGGATATGGCGCTAGTCCCGACTATACTACCGAGGTGGATTTCAATTCGTGTTCAGCTGTGATGGATTATTGGTATGTTTAAAGAGAAGTTACTGTTAATTTATAATACCGTATAAAGCACCATGGGAAATGCTTATAAGTTATAACAAAAGGCACTCGTATTAATTAGCATGTTTTTTATATGATCAAGGGCTTCTGAGGAAAAGGACTACGACTACGATGGGCATGGGCAAAATAACCGTGGTACTGTGGGACACTTCACAGTTTTATAGCAATTGTCACGCTGTTAACCATAACCGGTCAGTTAGTGTCTACAATATATTTAACATATTTACTGTATCTTAATAATTATTAAACCCTTATTATACAGATTTTTCATACTCACAAGAAATAACTACAACCCAACCATGGTTAGACGATTGTTTAAAGCGAGTCAATGAAATACGAGCCAATCACCAAGCACCACCGTATACAATGGATCCCGATGTATGCAATTACAATTAACTAAATCTATTACGAAATACTAAAAACTAATTAATACTTAGCTGGTGAATTATGCTAAATGGAGATGTCCAAATGCTGGTGCCGGTCACTTGAAGAACAATAATGGTCATGGTGAGAATATAGCACAGGGATATGGCGCTAGTCCCGACTATACTACCGAGGTGGATTTCAATTCGTGTTCAGCTGTCATGGATTATTGGTATGTTTAAAGAGAAGTTACTGTTAATTTATAATATAAAGCACCATGGAAAATGCTTAGAAGTTATAACAAAAGGCACTCGTATTAATTAGCATGTTTTTTATATGATCAAGGGCTTCTGAGGAAAAGGACTACGACTACGATGGGCATGGGCAAAATAACCGTGGTACTGTGGGACACTTCACAGNTTATCATTTGGAATATTGTTTAACGATTTTAATCGTGAAATAAAAGTGAGTTTGTAGATTATAAAGATTTACATTTATTAATTAATCACATTTATATTAACAACATGATTATATGATTGTTATTTTTAGAGCCATTTAAGAAATAAATTATCAAAATTATTGTTCACTGAAACTGTAATTAAGGGAAAGAGTGAGAGATATTTGTATAAAGATATAACCAATACTTTTCACATGTTTTATACGAAAAACAACGATTGCATACAAATATCAGTGTTTCACAGACGACAAGAGTTTCTATGGATCGGTTCAATACCTGCTCTTCAAGAGAAAAGTGATCACAAATTAATGTCTAAAGACATTCATTACGGACGACACGAATCGGCTTTTGATGACTTTGGTCTTCAAAGTGTGAATTTATTGAGAAATAATATAACGGTTTTAATACCCGATAAAGTCATTCATTTTATATCACAATATAAAACATCAAAATTTATTGAATGTAATTATAATTTTACAAAAAACTTCACTCAAACTAACGGAAAAGTTTTAACAAAACTTGAAACATTGGATCTTAAAGTAAAGAGAGCATTGATTGCATTGAAATCGTTTACATCAAGACTTTATATACCGTTTTTCATATCAAGTGGTACTCTATTGGGTTGGTATAGACAGTGCGGTGTTATTCCCTACACCACAGATGTGGACACCGGGACGTGGGCTGCCTTTGCCTCCGACCAACTTATCGATGCCTTCATTCATAACGACGTGAACTTAAAACTATTGTATATTTACGGCGCGGTTAAAAATGGTCTTCAATTTGCTTTATATACTGAACTAGACTTAAGACTAGATATGTTTTTCACGTACAAAGAGGGACCAAACCTCTCATATACAGCACATATTCCCTGGAAAAACGCATACTTTCGGTACATTTACCCGTATTTCACTTTATGTTCGGCTGAATTACTTGGACTTAAAGTACTGGTGCCCTGCAATCCTGTCGATGTTATTACTGCCGGTATTTATAGCATAATAATATAAATTAAGATTTTTAAAATTGTCCATTTAATTATACAGAATACGGGCCACATTGGTATTTACCCAAAACCGAATGGTCTTACGATTCA